ACATTGTCCTATATGTGAAATTGGATCTTCATCACTCATATTGAAGCTCACTATTGTGCTAATTCCATACAACAGGTCGGTCGAAAACGGGATTACAAAGAAAGCAGCAAGGAAAGCAACAAAAAGCCATCGCTCATGTTGGATTTGACACAGATTAAGCAAGCTTTGATATTGCACGTTGTGCCCGATCAGGCACTCTGCGATGTGGAAATCCCCGAGAAGCTCAACGTCGGATTCCTGAGGAAAGCTACGTACAGTGATTTAATGGAAGACTAAATGTCATCATTAGATAGATCTATATACTTGAAGGACACATGCGTAAATCATACTTGACAGATTGTACACTGACGTTAAAATGAAAATAAATTATGTAAAATGTATTTGCGAACTTACCGACTTCCTGATTCTTGGTCACAGTTGTTTGTCGTGCTTTCTCTGCTCTGTTGGAGTGCGGCCAACTGCAGTATATATGCTATAATACCTTAGTGCGATTGAATTTGTTTTATGCAGTATGATTTGTATTTTCTCATGATCGCGTAGATTCGATGCCAAATGATACGTAATTGGTTGCGATTCTGAGAGTTTTGTGCCATAGGGTTAAACTCCAGGGCATCACATAGCGACACAGACCAATATGTAACTTTCTGATCTCTGTAAATGCCGACATGCGGATACTGAATGCCAGCATGCAACACGCACAACAAAAGCTTTGTATTGCGTTAATCGTCATAATTCCAATAGTCCACTAAGAATTTAAAATGAGCATCGGATTTTTTTTTTGTCATGCTTTTTGACGTTTGAAAATAGAGGGTATGATCAGAAGAATCGGCGAAATACAGTTTTCACTATATTATGTGTGCTTTGTAATTATTCGAAACAAACTTGTCGTGAAATCCTAACCACATTAGGCGGTGACGAATTGAAAACAAGAATCAAAATGTCACAGCGTCGTCCCGACACCGAAAGGTCGAAACAAACTTGTCGTGAAATTTGTTCAACAGGAAGTACATATGCGCACATTATGCGGTGACGAATTGAAAACAAGAATCAAGATGTCACAGCGTCGTCCCGACACCGAAAGGTAAATAATCACGGAAACCCTCGCATACGAAAATAATATACGCAGTCATTGAAGGAAGCTTGAGGCTTTGATAGTAAAACATGTACAACCATGTATACTAAATTGAATTAGAACCCGACCCCCAAGGACGGAGATTTGCTATGCTAGTGGTCGGCGATGTATACCGGCGAACCATTCCTCCTGAGTACGAGTAAGCTTCTCTGATATTAGAGTGTATGGAGGCACACAAACGAGTGATTTCATCTATGGAAGGGTCGACTCAATAATTGGTGAATGTCAGTTGGTGTTGTATTCGTTTTGCAAAAATCTTTGCAACTCAGAATTTGTCTGATCAATATACTGCAGATCGCACTTCAAACCACTTTTTTGTTGTTCTCGTTCTAATTTACTTATTCTGAACGAAATCTAACATTCTAGTGCACTCCTAAAACTAAACATAAAACTCTAGTGGCATTTCGACTACTTGTACATAAAAAAACATATGGGTTAAACTAAGCAACGCTGCCAGTACAAGTTCAATGGGCATGCTTTACTATATTGCATGCGTATAGGACCATCTGTATATACGACCATACTCTTTTGTGTATTTTGCATTCTGAGCCTTGTCCTTGATCAAGTTTCCTTTATGATTGCAAAAACATAGCTGTCCGATATTTCAAATTGCCCTGAATAGTCGATAGAAAACTGGTAACAAATTTGATACAGCTGACCAAAAAGATATTCACACGTGATAAGGTGCATACAGACTTCTCTGTTATTTCCTTTAGATTGCATGGCTTTACAAAACTTGTGATAGGAATAATATTATTTATTATCAGGCTTTATATTCGTTGTTGGAATTATTATTATTTTTTGTCAAGAGAGGTGGTTGCTCGCTCACTTGATCAGTCTGTTTTAGCTGGTGTGCTTCCAGCATTGTAATCTGCTAGACTGTTGAGTATGAAGTAGTAGGCTATAAACTGTTGAGTATGACAAATATTAGCTAAGTCAGTTTATCATATTTGAGTACGATCGGGTTTTCAGTGATGAGTAAAATACTTTTCGCATTGCGCGAGAAGCAGTCTTGTCCGCCGTTCGTGATATTTTACTCTTCTGGAATACCACAATAGTAGCAGCTAATGTACAATTAATTCATGCCATGATAAATTGTGAGCTCTAAAGGGTGTAATTCGACTATGGATGTCACAGTAAACAACACATAAACAAGTTTCAGATGAAACGGCAACAATGCTGTACATGCTGTACCTTCAGAGGTCACGTCCCCTCTTTCACTGTTACACGCTTACACGACAGCCAAATTATCATAAATGTCTAATTTCTACTTTAATACATGTGAATGCCCCAATATCAGCATATTACAGGCACATCCGAAGCATATCATTCAACCAATACACTCAAATAACACTGGGATACAAAGACTTGCACTGATATGTTCTCTAAACTACTTATGTAGCGGTCCGAAACAGAAGGGGTGATCTCGGTATTACGGCTGAGTGCATAATAAGCTCCATCTGTAAATTAATAAGTGAGCGATCGTATTTGCTCGACGAAATGATACAAATATACATTGCTGTATTTCTAATTGATAATCTGAATGCAAGTAATCTCCCCGCAACAAATACAAGGTAGGTACATCAATATATAGATATATTAATATGATAAATAAAGATCCTGGTGGAAATGCTGTAAACGAAAAGCTGCTTCTCATAGAGTCTCAAGCTAGTAGTAGCTCGACATCCATCTTTAGGTGCTCAAAGGTTCCATTTCTGGCGCGAGAGTTGCATTGTATCAAATCCTCGAAATACTTCAGCACACACTGAGATCATCACAACACATGATCATATTCATATTACCATCGCCCACATTACCGTCGCTTTTTTTTTAAAACTTTCCCCACTTCACACTACTTGAATTGTGTCAGAGCGAACCACCATCATCATGGACCTTGTAACTAGGTTGAGAAGAGGCGGTATCGCTTTTTAATAAACTATTGCAATAATAGATGTTATACTTTTATTTATATATATCTATAAACAAAACAAGTATTTTAACCTCAAACTCGTATATCTATTGTACTATGATCTAAAAACGATTACTCTAGCAGACCGAGATATTTAATTCTAAGGAACTTCTATTTATATGGTTCACCGCATCTACTGTCTCTTACGCTTATACTACCACATTCACACCCCAGTCACCAGTCATACTTTAATAAAACTCTCACCCACTAGATTCCTTATATATAACTCTTCTTCAAGCTTCTACTCTCAATGGTTGGATTAAAGCCTCTTCAAATAACAAGACACAGCTTTTATTCACTCCAACATTTTTGAAGCTGCTTACTTCCCAAGACAGGATCTCTAGCAAAGCGGAAGAGATACTTCAATGTCCGGCACCTAGCCATCGGAAAAAATAAAGACCTCAGGCACCGAATAAATGACACCCCATAAACATATCCAAATCATACGTGATATCTTCTGGTCTCTCTCCACGCAATGACACATTCTCAATTTAAACAGCATATAATCCAAAAGTTGATTTCTGCGCATGTAGTCACCTCTTCCCTTTCACCGTGGAAATACTAGCTCACGCAACTCTTATACTGTAGCCACAGCTACCCCAGTGTATCTACATACCTATAAAAGATGTACTTGAATATTTTAGACGCTTCTAGCCATTCGCGTCCTCTACACGCTCCATGTGCAACTAAAAACCCTAAACCCTAAACCCTTGCCTCTCGCGTAGGACTATCACACCTCCCGCCATGTACGATTTCATTTACCTTTTTCCAGTATCTGTCGCCAATCTCCATACTGATAGGCCAGGCTTCCATACTGAAGCTTCTCTCACACGCTTATCAGCCGCCCTGAACCACTACTACGATGGCTCTGTTCTGACCGTAGCATCACTTAAGAGCTCCATCCCCAACACATTCAGCAACTGTGTTTGTAATACAATTTCTATATTCGATGTATATTGCCGTCCAGTGACATAATAGGAACTGAGTCCTGTAACAGAGTTTACAGTCGCATTGTATGCTAAAATATTTATTATAATAAAAATGGACACTGCCCACTGAGACTCCTCCCCTACCAGGAGATTCGCTGCTAACAAATTCACAATGGTTCGAAGGACACATCCAACCCTACCAATACCTTGATGCCTCTTAACTTTAACATTGTGACACTTTGGGTCTCTCTCTGTCCAGAAACTCTTCATCTCATCTGACGCAAATGAACCATCTTGATCTACTACGATTCGCTTTGGAGTGCCCCAGAGCAACACTTGTTGCTGCACAAATTTCAGTATACGCTTTATTGTAGTATTCTTAGCATCCGGTATGTACGGCCTGCACCACACTTTGCGTATATATATAAATGATCTATAGCCATCACAATACACTCAAACTCATGTACCATCTTTATCAAAGACAAATGATCCATGCCAATAACCATAGCCAACCCTTTTGGTCGATCATGCTGCATCAAAAATCGCATCGATCCACGCAACTTAGTCACTTGCTGACAAGCTACACAACATTTCATTACCATTGCCTTATTCGTTCTAAACAAACTATCACCATGTTTCTGCTTCAATAACTCCCATATACGCTCTACCCCCGTATGTGTCAATGTTGGACGTACCTTAACTATAACATAGTCATCTAAAGTTCAAACTTCATTTGCGAGTTCACTGTCGCCTCATGATCCCAGATACACATCACGCGCTGCGTTCCATCACAGCACTTACCTGTTGTCTCAGAAGTCCTAACCTAAGCGTAAAATATGTTTCTTCTCACGAAACTATAGTACGCTCAAGACAAGCTAACCGCTCGCTCCGAAGGACAAACTGCACTTTCCTCCTCTCAACGCTATGATGTACCTTATCCATCGACATGTCTAGACCCGCATTAATTTGAATGACTTTCATTTGCGCACACGCAGCAAATCTAGCCTTGCCCACTGATACGGCATCATAATTGAATCTAACCACCAAAACATACTACTAAAGCAATCAGCTACCTCATTTTTAGACCCTTCTAAATTCCTTATATCAAGGTCAAAAAATCGAAAATTTATCACATTTCTATCCCTCTCACAGGATCCATAGGGTTAGCGCGTAGTATTGGGGACTATAAGTAAAGTAGGAACGTACCTCACAGGTGTGCTCCAATATTTATTTCTGATCTCACCCT